CACACACGCACACACAGACACACACACACACACACACACACACTCACACACACACACACACACAAACACACACACAAAAACACACACACACTCACTCACTCACTCACTCACTCACTCACTCACACACACACACACAAAGTCATGGGTTCGAAGGGAATGCATGAAATTAAATGCAGTGCAATGGAAGTCACTCTGGACAAAAGCATCTGCATGAATCGGCTCCATGTTCAGCATCTGTGACATGATGTCAGTTATCAAAGAAAATAATTTTATTTCATACCTTTATTTGTAAGAAGGGAAAATCATGTTTACAGTGCACTGAACGTCTATGGGACAAACCAGAATAAATATTAAATATTGAAAGTATAATCATAACACTGTACTTGGCCAATAGACCAGTGTTATTTAAGGATAATTTATAGACTATTAAAGTTTTTGTTAACAGTTAGATTTTATTTGTATGCATTCTGTTTTTGTTTTAAATTTAGTTAAATTTAGTTTTATCATTTTTATTAGTTCTGGTATCATTGATATAGTTTTTGTTAATATTTTATAGTTTTTCTGTTTTCACTTTATTTTTTTTGTCATTATAGTCTTATAGTCTTATTTTTATAAATTAAATATATATATAAAAAAAAAAATTATATTTTCTTTTGTCACTTTATTTATTTTTTTGTTTTGTGTTTTTGTCATTTTTCATATGCCTATATAGTTTTTATTAATTAGTTTTTATTAGGTTTATTTTATTTATTCTTAGTTATTTTAATACACCAAGTTAAAGTTTTTTTTGTATTTTATTTTAGTTAAAATTTATTTTATTTCAAAGAACAAAAATGTTTTTATGGTTTTATTCAACTATAATAACTCAATAAAAATAATAGATCTATAAAAAAAACATATTTGTTATTTGAAATAAAATAAACACTAACTGAAATAAAATAGAATAAAAAAACATAAACTTGTTTTTTTTTTAATAATAAAAAGTATTGAAAACTAGACATATTAAAAAATAAATAACAATAATTTACAAAAACACAAAATAAAATTAAACAAAAAAATAAAAGGAAAAAAGGAATTCAAAATATTAATAAGCTAACCGAGACTTGTCATAGCACTTGCATATTATTGCTCTTTTCTTGATTTTGATTGCTTCCATTGTCCTCATTTATAAGTCGCTTTGGATAAAAGCGTCTGCTAAATGACTAAATGTAAATGTAGAAAGCAATATTGTCAATAGAGGACTTGGATCTTAGCTTGAAGCAACAGTTTGAAGTTAC